GCAATATTGGACCACAATGACTACAAAATTTTGTCCGCATCAATTTAGAGTGCCAGCATGTCCTCTTTTTATTCAAAATATTGGATTGTAAACACATTTCAGTAGTTTTGATACCTCAGGCTGACTCGTATAACAAAATTATTTGTCCGCATCAACCAAAACTGACAATATTTGCACTTTATTCTGTAAATTTATATAGCCTCATAGTAAATCAGTAATATTTCTATGTCAGGATGGATTGTATAATACAAATGACAGCAATATTGGAACACAATGACTACAAAATTTTGTCGGCATCAATTAAGAGTGCCAGCATGTCCTCTTTTTATTCAAAATATTGGATCGTAAACAAATTTCAGTAGTTTTGATACCTCAGGCTGACTCGAATAACATAATTATTTGTCTGCATCAACCAAAACTGACCATATTTGCACTCTATTATGTAAATCTTATAGTCGCAAAGTAAATCAATAATATTTTTATGTCAGGATGGGTTGTATAATACAAATGACAGCAATATTGGAACACAATGACTACCAAATTTTGTCCGCATCAATTAAGAGTGCTAGCATGTCCTCTTTTTAATCAAAATATTGAATCGTAAACATATTTCAGTAGTTTTGATACCTCAGGCTGACTCGTATAACAAAATTATTTGACTGCATCAACCAAAACTGACAATATTTGCACTTCATTTTGTAAATATATATAGCCTCATAGTAAATCAGTAATATATCTATGTCATGATGGATTGTATTATAAAGATGACAGCAATATTGGAACACAATAACTACAAAATTTTATCAGCATCAATTTAGAGTGCCAGCATTTCCTCTCTGTATCCATAATAATGAACCGTCACTAAAGTCAGTAGTTAAGGATGGTTTGTATTTAAAAAAAAAACTATTTAACGGCATCATCCAACACTGACAGGACTGATTTCATTTGTACTTTATAATGAAAAGTATGAGAATTTCTCTTCTTGAATAGTATATTGTTCGTATATTATGTCGGTTGTCTGATTTTGTTTGTAGCTTAACGTCCAGGGGCAAATATTTCATTCATGTTCAGAACGAGTCTATTTTTTCGGACGTCCCAGATATCATTTATGATCGGTAAGGATAAGTCTTTCTAAATTGACGAGATGGTACATAACTATACAACACCTTATTAATATCCCTACACTGTACAATTTTCGTTTGAACATTTGGCAAAAACAGAATCGTAAATCCAAGGCAAACAAGTTGAAATTAAGATGAAAAATCAATTTATTAAATGCATAGAGTTATATTTAGGAAGAGACTGTTAAAAATGGAGAACGAAGCAACGTAAACCATGATGTTTATATCCCATCATATAAAAATATTTTTCCGATGCGTTGGATAACCTTTCTATCCGCCTACTATTGAAAAACAAAAATTTCCTTTCTTTTATGATAGCTGCATGTATATTTGTCGATCAAAAATGTGTAGTTTTATAGCCATTATTTAATGTTTATAAGAATATGAAATGAAAACGAGTTTTTTAATGTATATAATATCTATACAGAGTCTAACGAGTATAGTAATGTGTCCATAGGTCTGGTCTGGAGCAGACTTGCCAATAGGTCTGCAGCAGTCCTTAAAAAGCAGACCTAGGTCTGGTCTACCAACAACGATGTTAACTTAAACCATTGTGGTGACGTCAGCCTATTCATTTACCGTGGATTCTTTTTCTAGAATCAACGCTTCCTAAATCTGCTGCTGAAATTGACTCACCAAATTATATTCAATTGTTTCCTTTGTGTGCCTAATTTCATTAAGTTTGAATTGGCTAATTTTCTGATTTCTGTTCACTAATGGAATTAATTTAAAAACTTACCTTTAATTTTTGTAATTTTTATATGCCTTCACTGGGAATCGAACCCTTCCTTGAAATCTGTTATGTGTGACTGACATCAACACATCGACGAAACCTATCGGCTACCAATGGGTTACACTATAGAAGTCTATTTTATATATTTAAATGAACATCTGATATACATCGGTTCATCGGACACACAGGGCTTGTACCTTTATAAAGACACAATAGGCAGTCGTATAGTATGAGTTGGTAGCCGCGAGGTTAGCATGGTTAAAATCAATGAGTTAAAGATAGGGATTTGTCGGTTTAGGTTCGAATCCCTGTATTCTCTCTGTTGTTCCTATTCTTAAGTTATCATGGTTTTTTTTTCTAATTTTGCATGTTTTAGTGGATTGTTTTGTTAAAATAGCGAGTTTTACCGTTTTTTTTTAATTATTATTGGCTATTTCACTTTTTATGAAACAAAAATGATTATATTCTATTTGTCAATTTTTGTTTTATAAATATAGTATGATTTCATCTGTTTTACTACATTATTATTCAAAGGTTTGTTCGAAAATTCCTATGCAAGAAAATCGTGATGTGCCTAGAGTGCTAGAAAAATTTCGACAACATACTTATTATATATACTTTATATATGCTTTTTGGTCGGGTTGTTGTCTCTTTGACACGTTCCCCATTTCCATTTTCAATTTTATTAGAAATAATTTCGAATATGTCTTATTTTGTATAAACAGATAATATTCATATGCCAGGTAATATAAAGATCTTTAAAGGTAGAAGTGTTATATTTGTATTTTGTTAACCAATTAATTGTGATATGAGATTTATCAATGCATCGTTGGACACGATAACATGGTTATTCAAACTCACTTACAATACCTTCTAATTAAGAAAAGGCTTTAATTTTGAAAAGAAATTAACACAATAGTTTAAGTTATAGATACAATGGATTAGCGTAGATTCATGAAAAACAAACCATTCGCCCTCCGGGCTCATGGTTTCTTTTTCAAGAATCCACGCTTATCCATTGTATCTATATAACTTGATTGTCTGCTTAAAATTTCTCAAGTTAACTGAAGAATCTCGCAAAATCATTACTGAAGTTAGAGATGAGTTGATACGATCAGATAATTTTCAAGTTTCTACTAAGGGTTTATATGCATTTTTACGACGTTTCCGTCATAGTGGAAAATTTGTGAGTCGATATTTGTACATGTAACTTTTGAAAAGAAAATATAGAAAATCCGCTACTTAAAGTTATTGGAACTGATTTTTTTGCAATTAATAATTAAAAGTTAATATTTCGAATTAAAAGTGTTTTTGATATTGTTTTGGTTTTAAACACATATACGTAAATTATTAAGATAAAAGTCGTTTTAACAAAATAAAATAAATGCACAAATGTACACGAAGTGTATTTCATAATTTACACAATCAATTAACGCGAAAAGTAAACGCGTGTTTATTTTCAAGTGCACGTAAAAATACACTTGTGAAATCTGTAGTAAACGCCCGTTTACTTTTAAGCGCACGTAAAAATAGACTTGTGAAATCTAAAGTAAACGCCCGTTTACTACTGACTAAACGGACACAGAGTAAACGCGCGTTTACTCAGGTAGACATTAGAAATTTCCATTTTGACCGCGTTAACGTAATTATAGTAAACGCGCGTTTACTAGTAAACGCGAAAATTGAAGTTAACTAACGAAATATGTGCACGCGGCGTTAACGTGCGTTTACTTTATGTTATGCTTGGTCTGCACCCAACTGTATGACGTGGCTCTGTACTTGAACATCCCGTCATTGTGTTATGGTAATTTTTGTATTCTTGTCTTTCATTTTGGCTAATGTGCTTTGCCTATATGCCTATTTGTGTTTTTTTGTTACATATTTATTTGTTTTTATAGTGATTAAGATTATAACACAATGTTGACTGCTGTACCCCTATTTTTGAAATTTTTACCTATTGTGTCTATTTGTTTTGTTCACACATCGTTGTCAATATTATGGAATTTCATGCGACTGTCATACAAGTGAGAGGTTTAGCTAGCTATAAAACCAGGTTTAATTCACCATTTTCTACATAAGAAAATGCCTGTACCAAGTCAGGAATATGACAGTTGTTATCCATTCATTTGATGTGTTTGAGCTTTTGATTTGGCATTTGATTAGGGACCTTCCGTTTTGAATTTTCATCGGAGTTCAGTATTTTTGTGATTTTACTTTAAACTCATTTGCAATCCAAGATAGCTAAATACTTCCATACTATCTTTAAATCTATTATTATACAAAGTCCGACAAATAAATTAAATTTTGACATTAAAATTGTATTATTTCAATAAAATTCTAGACCAATCAATTACACCCATTTGAAATCCAAGATAGCTAAATACTCCCATAACATCTTTACATCTATTATTATACAAAATCCTACAAATAAATTCCATTTTGGCATTACAATTGTATAATTTCAGTAAAAATCTAGACCAATCAATTAAACTCATTTGCAATCCAAAATAGCTAAATACTACCATACCATCTTTAATCTATTATTATACAAAGTCCTACTAATAAATTTCATTTTGGCATTAAAACTGTTTTATTTCAGTAAAAAGCTAGACCAATCAATTAAACTCATTAACAATCCATAAGCAACTTCAACTTATATCATCAAATTGATCCATTAAAATATATGAAGGATAAGCTCTAATCAAGCAACAAAATACCTAGTAAAGTTTTTAGTGGTTGACGCTACATCCCACCCCGTAATATTCCAATCCCTAAGATTCATTAAAAAATCGTGAGGTAAATTTTGTCTTATTGCTTTAAAGAACTGGATGAAAATACTATTTTGTAAGATGTCAAATAGTATTCAAGTACTTGAGTAAGTCTCTGAGCATCCGAGCTGTATCATAACATCAGATAGCTTTTGGCGATGAAAACTTAAATAGATTTTCTGATCTTAAAAATGAAAAAGTAATTCATTCTAATTATAAGAATGCATATACATGTTTCTGTTGAAGAATGTTTGCAATACAAGTACCGTATTGAAGAATGTTTGCAATACAAGTACCGTATTGTAAAGTCTCAAATTTCCGCAAGTATTATATTTTCACTAATTTCACAATTACAACAAAATTGCAAAAATATCCATCTGCATTATTATGACTTTTAATGAAGATCACAACCAAGGACAAGTAAATGTTAAATGAAACCTTGCAAATGTAGTAAAAAAAGTAAACGAATCACTTAAATATTGATTTTTATATTGTTTTTTTTTTCTTTAAATCATTTTGTAATTGAGGACCTATCCTTCATATCATTTCTTCTACCTTTTTATAATCTTCTTGTTCAAATGTGTAACATGAAAATTGATAACTTCATTTTTTTCATTTTTTACTCCTGACAATGATAATAGTATCTGGTGTGGCAAAGATGGAATCTCGTGTGTTGATAGCTTCACATGTATATGCACCAGAATATTGAACACTAGCATCAGTTATTGTCAGATTTCCTCTTCCACTCTTGCTGCTTGTGAGTACATGGGGTCCAGTAGGGATATTTCCCCCGTTAAAGCTCCAGACAATCAGTGGTGTAGGTGTTCCCACAGCTTCACAAATAATGGTGAAACTTCCCCCTAATTCTACATCTATCTTTGATACAGGCGGAAAAGTGATGACGGGGGGAACTAAAATAAAATATACTTAAAAGTTATAGCACTTGCATAGATGATATTTTCTTTATGTCATTTTTTAACACTAATTTAGATGAGTAATATTTTGAAAGTCAAAACAAACATCCCTTTTTCTAATAAATCATGTAATAATGAGCAAAAATAATGCTACAATCCCTAATTTTCCCTGTACAGAATAGCCATGAAAAATTATCTGCTGGCTCTATTAAAAAAATATTGGTTACTTTCCATGTGGTTGAGAATTGTTTAATGTATTTCAAATTGTATTGAAATTATCAGTTAGAAGTATCAGTTCGTTTTGAAAGTAAAATGGAAGTGACCAAATACAAGAGAGGATGAACACATGAATGATTTCAATATCAATAAAAATTATCATTAACTACAGAATTTGGGAAAATGTGAACAACTGAATCAATTAAAAAAAAATTTGTGAGCAAGTTCACATATACAACACCTCTCAAATAAAGGTTGAGATTTTATAGTTCCCTGCTGGCATGAAATATTCTGTTTACTTTTGGTATATGATTGTTATCAGTTAAGACGTAAGATTTCAGAAAGTAGTTTCTGGTCCAACTAAAAACTATATCAGTAACCATAACTTAATAGACCTCAAAATCAACAGGGGTGAACATCTCATAATATCTAACCTTATATCAAAGTAATCTGATATAGATTATTCTATTTAGCAAACATGACTATGACGAACAAATAGGTCGAACTCTTTATACTCCCGCTACTTTGTAGTCTTGGATACAATTTGTATTATAATATGGACTAAAATAGTGAGTCAGCAATCAAACAAATAAACTTACAACAGTCAAGTTCATCTGACCTATCTTGACAATCGATTTCTCCATCACATTGGAATGACTTTGGAACACACTGATCACCTGACATACACTGGAACTCGATTGTATCACATGGATCACCCGGTTTTCTTGTTACTGAAATGATATATGAATGATTGTTGTTTGCTTAACATGCATTGGCAAATATTCCATGCATGTTCAGGACCAGAACAATTTAACATATAGACACTTAGGTAGGTTCTGTAATAGGGGTTGACCGGATTAAAGGGCTGAACATTTGGACTGCAACTTTCAAAATAGGGCAATCTGAATATGGAAAAATATTTGTAATATGCCATCTACGAATCCCTCAAATAGTTGTTGCAAGGGTTCTTAATGGGCAGAGACTGTGACAATCTTTCTACACGAGGCATCGTATTTAACGTCCCCATGCTGACCGTCATGGCTACGAGTTTATACATCCCGCACAACCAAACAGACACCCCACTATAGAAAGGGTTTTTTCGTCTGTCGGAAGAAGACCACGAGTGACCACAGTTCTATTCCCCATCAACCTTTTGGTGCAAATGGTGTATACTATAATATACAATAATATAATATGAAACATAATGATATAAAATATAATATAACAAAATAATATAATATATTACAGAATTACAGAATTATATAATATGCATGTAGTTAAAACTTTTCTAGGTGCACGGACTTGTTTATTAAGAAAATATTTGTGAAATCAACTTTTGATTAATTGAAATTTTGGGTATTGAATAAAGCCCATAGTAACACACAATAAAATCCATTAAATCTTTTCAAAAGACAAAAGGGGCATCTAGGCGAAGGGGGTGGCTTCAATATATGATTATAGGTACATATATTCAGTTAGGATTTCAAATTTCATATTTTTGTCGTTTTGTGAAAATCATGACTCATATATATCATGGAAAACTACTAACCCACTCATATATTTCTCAGTTATCGCATATACAATTTGTGAGATCCTAGTTTTTTTATAAAGGAATCACTTAACTTGTGAACATTAAAGTCACATTAGATAAAGATGTTCACCACAATGGGGTCATTCATATAACTTAGATATCGGTGCATAAATTATAAAAGCAACTTATTGAAAGATTAAAAATTTTTGATCCAATGACATATTAGCTTGGTGACCGTGTAATTGCAACCTATTATATATATATATATATTGCATATACCAATTCCAGCGGTACGTCTTAATTATCTTATTAAGGAGGAGACCTCCCCCCCCTCCCGAGTTAAGAGAAACTAAAAGACAAAATTTATTGAAAGACAAAAAATCTGCATGACTGTACGTATTATGTCAATGCTTGATTTTCAACCCATCGCCCCCCCCCCCCCCTCCTCCACGCTTACATGCATGATGATGTTCAGACAAACAGACAAAAAAAACCCCGCAAGTTTGTATTTCAACTTTGAGAGGAAATTTATCAAAGGATATAGATCTGGTTAAATTTTTCAAATGTTTGCGAGAATAGCTTCTGTTAAGTGGTTCAAAATTATCCGTGAAAATTCTAATAAATTTCAAAATTCGTTCTCCATTTATTATCCTGAAACATCGTTATTTTAGATTTTTTTCAACAAAATAGTACCATAACTGAAACGGTATAAGTGAAATAAAAGTGATTCTTTCCAATAATAAAGTAACATAACAGTGAAAGGGAAAACAACGAAAATCAAACCTTACCTGTATTCAGTGGTCCCAAACATTTAATCAAAATTGCAATTTAATTCAAAAACCGTTTCTCTATTTATCAACTGGAAACCAAAAGTAAGACTGACAGACGGACTGGCGGACAGACATAATAATTGCTATATACCCACGACCCTATCCAGTGGGAGTATAATTAAAACATAGGATAAGATTTCAAACAGAACTGCTAATCAAAATGCATGTGAGCACTGGAGGGCAAAGATAGAATTCATTTTGAAATGGGAACATAAATTTAAACATTGCATTGATTTAAGCAGTTATTGTAGTTTGTTCAACTACACATATTGATAAAAAGAATATAACACCAAATTACATTACTTAAACAATAACATGATAGATATTTTTCGACCAGATACATGTAGTAGACTCATGCATAATGCACAATGTATATTAAAGAGAGACAGATGACTAAGGGACATTCAAACACATTAGTCGAAAATCTGACAACGCACGGAAAAAAATGGGGAATGCGTCCATTGGACACAGATGATGCCCCCGCTTGCATATAATATTATAAAGGGTCATAACCAAGAACGGTCAAAGTGACGCTACCCAAATTTGTACTTGATCTGAGTTTTGTGTTAATAAGCATTGTGTATAAGTTTCATAACATTTGATTGAGGCAAACTTAAGTGAGAGAACGGAAACGAAAAATTCAGCAATTTTTCCATTTGTAGAGGGGCATAACTCTAGTACTGTAAAAGTGACAACAACAAAATTAAAACATAAAAGATTTTTGATTTTATGAATGCAATCTTGATCCCAAAAATGTTTACTAAGTTAAAAGTTAATGTGACCACAACTTCAGGGTATAATGTTATCAATAGAATAATTTACCCTCGAGTTCGAATACTGCAAACTATTCAAACAGTGATTGAACACAAATTAAAATTAATTTCTACAGTATGGAATACATATACAAGAGGACAGTGAGACTACTGTTATTACGTAAGTGAACTCCTTCTTCACCCTTGTGTGATCATCCCATCGGAAATGAAACACTAAGGAAAATGCGTCATAGAATTTTTACAATAGTACATCTCTTTCAAAAGAAATGAGTTCACTGCCGGGATAATTCACTGTTACACCATTCCTTTTTAATAATAAACCACACGTTTTTTTTTTTTTTATAAAGATGATAAATCGCCATTCCTCCACTCTCCTAATCCTAACCATCGGAACTTTTATCCCTCTCGTGCTTATATTCCTAATACAAGTGTTGTGACAAGATATTTTTACCCTTTTTCCAAAACCATTGGGTCTATCAGACATTCACAATATGTTTCTTGAATTTAGCACATCCTGCAAAACTCATATTCATTATACGGTATTCCCTTTATCTAGAATGTAACTATGAGGATTTTTTTTTTTCAAACTATTTTTTAATACATATGAAAAATAGTATAGAGATTCATCATTCAATGTAACATTAGGATGCAATTCGTTAAGCCTATCATGTAATGAAAAATTGCCCATACCCTCCTCTTACTTAAAACCATTTTACTTGAATTTTATCTCTTTTTCCCTGAAAAGGCATATTAGATACTCACTTTGCCTAACTAAAAGCCTAGCCGATTCTGAATACGTCTTGTCATTGTAGATACCAGAGCAGATATAATCTCCAGCATCAGTGATATCAAGGTTAGGTATGATGAGACGCCCTCTCTCTACAGTAGCTTTAGGTTGTATATCCTACAAAAGAGCAAGACATGTCTCATGATTTAAAGATTATTGATTTTCCTTCAAATTAGATGGGATCTCTCAATTGTATTGTCAATAATGGAGATAGCTCCGAGTTGAGATGTTGCCGAGACACTTCCTAAAGTTTGAAGGACCATTTGTTATCTGTTTATCGCTATTTTGCAAGGCAATGTTCATAACGTAATCCATTTTCTTCCTTATTGATTGAGAACAACTAAGATCACTTAAACAGCCTAGGTTGGAAAATTATCATACAGAAAGATCAAAGACAAATTTGCAAAAATAGGGATAGAATGGAATATTCTGAAATGTCAAAACTCAAATTAAGTAAAGCTCTGAGAATGGAAATTAAATTTACTCTTTAAAATCCTGCGATAGTATATAAAAGATAAACATACAATATTGCCATGTCTGTACCATTCTAGTGGTGTTTCTGCTGGTGATATAGTACAATCAAAATAAGCCTTATATCCGACTCTTAATGTCAGCTCTCTAGGACTAATGCTTATGGTTACTTGTAGAGAGGCTTTAAAATTATAAAATACCACTGAAATCTTTTTGTTTACAAATTATAAAACAATTATATCATGCATTTTACCTATCAGTTTTCACAATGGGTGAACTGGAAATTAGGGAATTTCATTTTGTTTACAGTTACCAACGGAATCATCTCTATGATTAGGGAGTAAGCCCATTTTTATTTTTTTACACGAAAACCTACATGAATGATGATTTTACTCACAGAAATAAAAAGTTGAAAGGCTGTATCTTAAGAAGATGACTTAGTACAATTTAGAAATTGTAACATTAAAAATTCAATCAAATAAAACAAATTGAAAATTTTACTTAAATGTTATTTCTATTTTATATTTCATTGGTTAATAAAAAAAAGTTAACCGCACTCAAACTTACTGCTAACACCGGAGTTTACCTATCAGTATTTGTTTGGGTGTATGCTGCTGAATCAATTTTTGTGTAGAGTTTTCCTTACTTTCTCTAATTTATGTCTGTGACGGCAAATTTTTTTAAATATTATACTGCATCTTGGAATTATGTTTACAAACTTGACAGATATTCTAAAAGTTGCGCTCATTTTATAAATTGTGTAGTTGTATATTCTAAATTAACATACGACAATTCAGTTCATCTGAGCCATCACGACAATCTGATCTCCTGTCACATCTACGATCAGCAGGGATACAGTCTCCACTTCTACATGTAAATTCATTAGGTTGACATCCTATAATGACAAAGTTTAAATGTATGTAGAAGACAATATGTTATCCTGTTTATTCAAAGTCAGCAGGGATACGGTCTCTAAATTTAATTTTTTATCCTTTGCATTATTACAACTTATTCAGTGTATTAATTGTTTCAGCTGAAAATTTGATATAGTTATACGCAATTCATGTAGTAAATGTTAAAACAGTCCAATGAAATCAGGACAAAATTATTGGTCATTGAATAAAAAATTTTTTCAAATCATTTTATTAATTGTTTTTTTATGATATGTCATAATCATATTTTATCAATAAATTGTATGTTAAGCCCACCTTAAGATAAAGTATAAAATAAATGTATTTTTTTTTTCTTTCATATTCATATTTCATACAGCTCTAAGCACACAATCTTATTAAAGTCTGGTGTTTATAAACTGTCATCTACTTACTTCACCGAA